AAAATTATTTAGAAGAATAGCATGTAAATAAAAATGTTTAATAATAGTTAAAGAAATCACATCAAATATGAGTAGCACATAAAGGAAGTACCAAAATATAAACTATTTCTCTATATTTTACTCATATTTAAAATACCTAGTAGTTTTGTTTTTTTTAAATGAAAATGCATTATAAAAAAATCAGAAGAAAAATAAGAGTAAGGGTAGATGCATTCCAGTTCCGGGCCTGTTCTAATTCTGAAATTGCCGGTTTCGAAAACACTGACAGGAGGGACTGCTAGTCCGCCACCGGTACTGGTCACCATGGACCAAGAACCTTTTTTTGTTAAATCTAATTTATGGTGTAAAATGATGAATATAATACTTATATAAATATAATTGTTACTTTAAAATTAGTTAATCTAAATTAATGCCTAGCAAAATTGGACAAAAAATTAGTGCCGATTCTGGTAACTTATCGAAATCTCTAGGTAGTTTCTAGTGGAGAAGTGAGAGAGCGTCTGATGCGCGAATCTCACAAAACCATGTATACCATGCATCTTGCTAGCAATAAAATGTTTCAACATCTGAAGAAGACATATTGGTGACCCACGATGAAACGAGAGATCTTAGAATTTATTATACGACGTCTGGCCTATCAACAAGTCAAAGCCAAACATCAAATGTCGAGTGGATTGTTGCATCTGCCTACCATTCCTGAATGATAGTGGGAGTGGATTATTGCATCTGCCTAGCCTCTGCTAAGAAGACTGATGCTATGTGGGTACTCGTGGACTGATTGACCAAGTCAGCTCATTTCATACTAATGAGACGTGACATGTCATTGAAAAGATTAGCAGAGTGGTGTTCATCAGAAGTTTCATCGGGAAATTTCCATTTCTTCCATTTAAGCTCGAGGTGAACCCTTAGATATAGCTAGTGATTAACATGTTCATATAGATCGTTTTTACGTTCATAAACGGTCATTTGGTTGAGTTTTGTGTTAGACATTGTTGATGAACCAAAAATCATAAACCTTTATATTGTTGTTAAAATTTCGAATTAATGGTATAAAAATGATTTATGAATGTCAGAGAATTTTTGTAGGATTTAGTTAAGGTTTGGTAGCTTAAAATGGTATTTTCAAAATTTAGACCAAGGTTGAAGACGACCAGTTGTAGAACGATCGATCGCCGCATGGAACGATCGACCATCCCTCAACCAGTTGGCGTTCAAGTACGTTACTAGGAACGGCCAATCGCCGACAGTAGCGATCGACCATCCCAAGTCTAGTTACATAGTGGCGGTAATGGTCAACCGTAGCACGGTTACAGTCGACTGTCACGAACTATCCCAACACTGGACAATCCGCTCTTTCAAGATATATAATCCTATTTTGCTACTATTTAACTATAAATCCATTTTAATGTCATTTCCAAACTAAATATGATGTTTTGATCAATTTCAGAATCTTATTTGATGCATAACAGTAAGCTAGGGTGTTAACACTCGACGCTAGGTCGTCGTTTGTTATTTATGATGATGATGATGATGATTGTTATTGATTGTAAATGAATCTTGATTAAATAAACAATATCTTGATCAAATGATGACGATAAACAATTAAGGCTATCTAGAAAAACTCTAAGATAGACCTCATGTGACCAATTTAGTTAGGCATTGCGGATATGATGTATGGTGGCTCGGGTTAAAACGTACATACGAGATTCACAAACCAAACTTGAGTAACCACTGGTTTGGGGTTACCATCCAACTCGACGGTGAGTAGGCTACTGTTCGATTTTGAGCGTGACCTATAACACTCATAGGATATGTCATCGATCTTGTATCTTGCCTTAAATTAATTATAGTTTAAGAGGCCGATTTTCAATATAAATTAATCTTAGACTAAGAATCGTTTAAAGAACAGTGTTATGATTTGGAGTATCCCTATTCTATAATGATCCCTATTCTATAATTAAGCTAGGGATACACCAACATGGGGTACCCCAAGTGTACATCGATAATGATCCCACTTGTCTCAATATGTTGGAGACGATGCTTAGGACCTGTCTTTATGAAGGTTTTTTTCTGCACTTGATTGCATCTTGACTCAATTGTCATGTCTTTAATTTGGAGATTTGTTTGTCCAAAAAAAAAGTCATCTTGTTACAAAATAATGTGTTTTTTTTCATTCAATTTAATGTGTTTTTTGTTACAAAAGCCATGCACCGCGTGGATTTTTGTTGAGTTGTGCCTTCAGAGAAATAACACGGCCTCGAGACATGCCGGCAAGATAGGTATTCAATCGAGACCACGCATCGCAAGCCGTGTCAACAAGAGAAATCAGCGGTTGCATGGCATCGGAACAAGAACCAAGAAGAGCACCCAGAAGGATTTGATCCTGTCGATACCACGTAGCATAAGCCATGTTCGGCTTAGTGCAAGCGGGATCAAGAAACTTGGCAGGCGCCTTCACCGTGCCATCTACAAATCCGAGTAAGCCAATTCCAACGAGTGTGGAATGCACCTGACGACGCCAAACCAGAAAATTGGTCTTGGTTAGCTTAATTGGAAAATGTTTGGGTGCAGAGAGCATAATAAGCTCTGTGGAGGAAGAGGAATCATCAGACGAAGCAGACATGTCTGGTAAGGTGTTTGATTGGAAAAAAAAATCTCGGTTAGGAGATATGAGGCTCTGATACCATATGAAATAACGATTACCAGGTAATTTCCATTGATGAAGAAACAATACATATATACATAAGAAAGCAACAACCTAAGCTAAAACTAAGGAGAGGAAGTTGGCCGATCTTATAGAATAGGAGTGGCAGTGGCGTGTTTGATGTACACTTGGGGTACCCCATGTTGGTGTATCCCTAGCTTAATTCTAAAAAATAATAAGTGGTGGACTATGTGGCAAGTGAATAGGCAAGGTAAAAAATCTACATCATAAAATAAAAATCAATCTGACAAGTAACTAAGCAAGTGACTTAGCGGAGAGTAATAAAAGCATGTGAATTGTTGGAGTCATAGTGTTATTTATTAAATTTAAGAGTATTGGTATAAAATAGTAAATTTGTTTTATTGGAATAATGACATAAATTTTTTCAAGATACAGGACTGTCTTTGAGGAATTAGGAGCCTGACACGACACGAATAAAATGGGCCTTGTGAATAATGTAAAGCCTATAAATATTTTTTTAACAATAATTAACATTATTACAATAATAATAATAATAATATATCAAATCATAGTATCATGTATGATCCCTTCACTTTGTTCATGAAATCAAGGCATGTTGTCCATTCAAATGTAAGAGCACAAGCAATGGCAAGTAAAAAAAAGATTGTCACACGCTGACATATCATATTCCAACCAATAAAAAGCAGTCCAGTCACAGAGTGTCAAATAAGTGGAGTGGCAAATTCTACAGTGGCAAGTCATTAATTTTTGTAATTTTTATATTTTTCGAGAATTTTAATTATCAAAAATTATATTTTATAAAAATTATACTCCCTCCGTCCGGAAATGATGTTCCTATTATACGTTTTTTTCCGTCCGGAAATGATGTTCTCATTCTACTCTTTAACACATAAACTACCCAAAATACCCCCACCCAATTACTCTATTTTCTTTCTTCTTCTCCTTTTCTCACTCGGACCTCTGCCATTCTTCTTCTACCCTCTCTCATTCTCTCTCCACCTCTCTTCTACTTCTCTCTCCTCTCCCTCGTCTTCACCCCCTATCCTTTTTTGCCTTCTTTTCTTTCTCTAGATCTTCAAATCATTCTTTGGATCAGATTTCTTCTTTTCTTTCCCCATTCGGCCCCTTTTTTCTCCAAAACTGCTCCTTCCTTTTCTTCTTCTTCATTTTCTTCTTTCCATTCTTTCTCATGTTTGCTTGTTTGCCAGATCTGCGAGATCTACAACAATCGATGGATGCGATCGTAGAGCCAGCCGCGATAGTGGGCTAGCGACGACGGGGCATATGTTTTTCTTCTCCACTTTATTAATCAGTCTTTTAAATCTTGAATTTTGGGGTGGGTCTAATGGGATTGGCAATTATGCTGGAGATTGAGGCGATGGGGGCGGCGGCAGTTGAGAGGGCCGGCGGTAGTAGTGAGGGTTGTCGGCGGCATTGATTGGAGCGGTGGTAGTGCCCTGATGAGGGCAGGAGTAATGCTAGCAAAAGGGTATTTTGGACATTTTCTTCTCATTGTCAACCCTCCTTAAAAATGAGGAAAAGTCAAACCGGGAACATCATTCCCGGACGGAGGGAGTATATTTCAAAACTATATTCCAAAATGAATCTATTGCTAATATATTTATATGAAAAGTAACAAAGAAAAAAAGAAAAAAAAATACTCCGTAGATGAGGGCATTTCATGACCAAATCTGTACTTTCTTCTTCAAAGAAAATAAACAAATAAATACAAAAAAAATGGAAAACAAATACGGGTGAGTGGATGGCCACAGCCCACAGATCTCCTTTCTTATCCAAAGAAAAAATGAAAAATAAAAAGGAAACAAAAAAAACTCTTGGTATGAAGAACTTTTGCCTCGCAGGCTACTCGGATATAGGGGTGACTCGCCCTAGACACGCATGGCAACATGCTTCTACACGCTGATGTGGCAGAGCGTGGCTTGGTGATGGAACGCCATTGCTAATGCTCTAAAGGCTTGTTGTCCCTTTAAATGTAAAGGCATGTTGTCCCTAAAAAAAAAATGTGAAGGCAGGGAAGAAGAGTTTTTTTTGTAATTCTAAAATCCACGTATAAAATATATCATTTCTCACACTTTTTTTTTGATATTAATGCATTCAAGTCATGAAACATTAATGTACTATAATCATAAAATGAACATGCTTTAAAACCACATAAGAATTTGCTGAGAAGAAAAACCCCAATATGTAAATTGTATAATAATGGTTTCAAATTATGGTCTCAAATAATTAAAAAATAAAAATTTAAATACACAAAGAACAAGTTTGTATATTTTGTGAGTGTTTTGTTTATGATTCTAAAATTACTCTTTTATTTAACTTTAATTGCTTACTTGAGGATAGAGGCAGTTGGGAAAAGGTTAAATAATTATGATAATGTTCACAGTTTCACTTTCACACCTGAAAACATCTGTAGTAAATTAGAATTCGAATCCTGTTTATACGGATACACAAAAGGCCAACATAGGATTCTTTTTAATGAGATTCCCTTCTACAAGAGCTCATTTTCTAATTCCCTGATCAACAACTCCATCATCTTCTTGTACATTGGCATGTAATGATCATTTATCATCGTCTTCGACAGCCGGAGCTTACTGTACAGATCTCTTGGTGTCTGGTAGATGCCAACACGCTCCTCCTCCTCCTTCAAACCATCGCCGTTACCCCCTGAATCAACTGCCACAATATGCATTATTCTCCCCGGAGGATAGAATTGGAGGTTATCCGGAAACGGTGGGACCCGCGTCTGGCTTCCTACTGCATCGACCAGCGCCACTTTCTCCTCCTCCAAAGTGATTTCTATAGCTGCTGCTGCTGCTGCTACAGTGGCTGCTTCTTCTTCTTCTTCTTCTTCTTCATGTCCATGAATTGTGTCATTGTCTTGTCTCTCTAGTTGCTTCTCCAGTTCATACCATAACTCCCCTTCGGTTGAATCAACACATTTGTTCGCCTCCTTGTGTGGTGTATCATCCCCATCCTCGTCGTCTGTCTCCTCCATGTGTGGTGTTGCCTGAGTTAGAAGGGGAGACTCAGGGGGCAAATCCTCTGTTTTAGAAATTGGGGGTTGAGAAACAACACGGCGACGTGGACCGATGCATGACCATGCCGATAGAGAAGGTCTGGTGGTCTTGACCACTGCTTGTGCTACATCTTGCGCACGCCTCATCACAACCTGTAATAGTTTCATCAATATCAGAGGTTTTTGCTAAATGAGATTCGTGAGTCGTGAATAATAATGGATATAAGTGTGAAGTTCATTACTTATTTACTAAAAAAATTTGGGTGATAACTAATATGTTGAAAGTGGGCTACCAAACAGCCACTTTAGAGATCCCCCTCTAGCTATCATGAGTTCTTCATGCAGTGATCCAACCCAATAACATCATTTTGTACCATTCACCCACCACAACTTTTGTACTTGGATCAATGCAGATACAAATTTGCATATTTGATGTATTAATAATGGACTAAAGCTACCGTTAAAAATGGACTAAATCAAAATGGCACATTAAACTTTCCTTCTTACTTTCTATGGAGTTTTAGATGCATCAATGGTCTAACAGAAACAACTTCTTTGTTTTTTGACCCCCTAGACCACAACGTAAATCAACTTAAATACAGGTGAGTTCATAGGCTACTTTTGTAGCAAATAAGTTGACACTTTTTTGGATTAAAAATTACCACTAAATTGGACATGTCTGCACATGAAAATCTTTTTTGTTAAGGAGTTGAATTCAAATTGACTGGAAGTGAAAGTGATTCAAAAGATATTGGGGCTGTGATTTGGGGGGATACAAAATTAAGGAGGACTTGATGAGTAGACAAAAATAGTCAGGAGTCGTGAAATTAGCCTAAAATGAAACAAAACGACTTCATTTACTGAGGGTCTGTTTGGGTAGAGTTATCCGGAGGGGATTTGGTTGAGTTGATCTATATAGTAAAAATTAATTTAAAAAACAAAATATTGAAAATATTAACATAAATAAGCGACCGCAAGCCCTCAAGTGTCTTCCCCTCCAAATCCATCCAAAATCCTTGATCCAAACATACCCTAACAGATCACACAAACATATGAATTGCTTGCCTGAGTACTGCTGGAGACTGGACGCAGAAGTGCACCTGCACCAGCAACCCTAGCTTTAGCTACAGCTATCGATGGGCCAAGTGCGGTGGCAGAGCGATAAATAACTTTTAAAACCCTATTGCGCTCCACTTGATCACGCAAATCATTAAGCCAAGATGATGATGTCACCTGGTCATAATGATTGATACCAAAACACCTCAGCAGTTGAAAATATCTTATTATTTTAGATAAACCCAAAGAAGACAACAAATCCAACATTGCAACTGATCAGTCAAGGTTGCCACACCTCTGTGCGCAGAACATCTATGGAAGAAGTTGAGAATGTAGGCACAAGATCAGCACCATTGATTATTGTAGTAATGAAGTGCTTTCCAGACTCCGCTAACTCCCATGTCATACAGGCAGCTGATAGAGATTCATAAGAAATTAGGGGGAGATTGTGAAAGTCATCTTAAAATTACTCATCCGGGACGAATCATACCTGGTGCAAATGTAACACATGTAATTGAAGATAAATCTTTTTTCTCTCGAAGGATATAGGTAAGCAATGCAGCCGTGCCACCGCCAAGAGAGTGACCCACAACCTAAAGTTGACAAAAAAAGGCACAGCATTAAGGTGCTAGAGCAATTTCCATTCCGCTATGGAGCCAAAGATTCACTATTTTTTTGGCTTTAGGGTATGATGGAATAAAGCAAATTGGCTCTTTAAACTGTGCGCTTCTTGCAATTGTGAAGTACGGAGTAGCAGTTAGTCAATGCAACTTTCGACGCTCATCATGGCTCATCTGGAAACAGCCACTCTATGTTTTAAACATAGGGGTCCGACCCCCCCTTACCCTGCAATGGGCGGGAGCCATTGAGGCACTGGGGTAATGTTGTTGTTGTTGTTTGTATTAAGGTGCTAGAGCTATTTTAAATACTCCCTCCGGTCTTACTACGTAATATTTAAAAGGCACAGTGGGATGGTCTTTATTATAAGTTATTATTTCTATGTTTATCGATTGATATATTTAACTTACTTTTCCACATCTCCTATTAAATGAAGGTGTCACTCGTTTTTAAGGTTCTAGCAGGTAATGAAATACTCTGTACTACAGAATATTAAATAATGGTGTATTAGGAAATTTAAGATTTTTTAAAATGATCTTAATTGCTTCCTTGGTTTGTGCAAAAGTCAAAATTGTACTCTATGAATAGGACTGGAGGGACTAGATAATTAACTGGATGCACAGTGAATATGATACATGAGCTATTAATAAATATACAGGTTCAAACTGTAATAGCAACACTTCTTTTCCCTCTCAGCAATGTGTATATCCATTTAGTGAAATGGGTAAATGACATAATATAAAATACAGAGCATGCAAATTTATCAATGAAATTTAGTGCATGTCAGTATGCCACATGCTATTGCAAATAAATTTTCTTTTAAATTAGTATTGTAGAGGGTCACAAGATGATAAGAACAAATATAATATTGTATACATCGACATAGATGACCACCAAAGAGAAAAGACAGCTTGGCATGTAATCAGAAGTTGCTAGGAAAAGGACATCTAATTATTAGAAATTCATAAGTTGTTACAACTTACGAATCAATAAGGTCATGTTTCAATCATATGCGCAATAGACAGATCTACAGGCATATTAATAGCTAGGCACACTAAAGGAGGTATAATTGTTGTGCACATTAATGTATAAGATAGATGTTTATATTAGAACATACACATAAAGAAAAAGTATTGTTTCCAAAGAAATCTACAAGGGTGAGAGACATCATAAGCCAATACGATATGCTACGTATTAACTTTACCAAAAATAGCATCAATGTTCTGTTTGATCATGTTAAGAACAATAAGATTGTAGGAAACCCCCCAATAGTTGCACCACAGGTTTATTCCATTTTTCTACTTTCCATCTATGCTTTGTATACTTGAATTTGGCACACAAGCGGGGGTGCAAAGTCAAAGATTGAGGTAAACATGGGATGCAAATATCAAATTTTTATTAGACTTTGGCCCTCACTCGGCGTTAAAGAACAAAACAGAGCATAGGGTTCAAAGTCAAATGATGGGGTAAACCTGGGGTGGAAATACATGATTTCCCTATAATAATTTACTGCATAAAATTCATCACATTACTGTGCATGAAGGGGTAGGAGAAGATTGTTTGGGACCAAAATAATGAATCAGGTTGCTGCTCACCTTCACTTCATACTCTGGATATTCCTCAAGTGCCTTGAGAAGGGAAGGAATACTGAGCTTTGCAATCCAACGGGCAGCTGCAACCATCCCACAATGTGCATATCCCAAAACAAGATTCCCAATTCCACCATCATTTAATACAGAATGGTGGAAAGGAACAACATCACCTGTTGCAGCTGTTAATGTATCCTTGATACTGTGAGTGCCCCGAATTAGAAGAAGAAAACATTTTAAATTTTTATCCCGTAAAATTGTAAAGGCGGGTTTAAGAAGCTGCAAAAAGAAATATAGAAACCTTAGCTCATGGAGATGTTTCTTGTATTTTATGAAGTGGCCCAAAAAGTATAAAGGCATAAATATGTTTCTTGTCCTTGAAAATGTAGTTCTGTTTAGGACCCTATAAAGTTATTTTTTGCTTTCTATACCTGCAATTAACATTAATTTCTTTTTAGTCTCTCCGGCTCTCAGTCAACCTTCCGTTTAAAAAAAACATTGACTTGTTTCAAAGAACTTGAGTTCCTTTTTCCAGAAATAAAGAAGAAATTACTTACTCCCTTTCTCCCGCTGGGTTTTGCCAATCTTTAGTGTAAACATGCGGTAATAGTTTATTTCTATGTAGCTGAAGGCATAAATTGAAAGTGGTAATTATGAGTGTCCTTTGGCCCTAACTCTCCTTATAGTCTCCAAAGAGCTATAAAAAGTTGATGTGCAAATATACTGCAAGCCGTGTCATTTTTTTAATGGAGGGTGGCTGAGAGGGACTAAAAGGAAATAGCATAAATTGCAGAGATAACAAAAAATACAGGAATTTAAATCTCAAGATAAACTACATTTGCAAAGATGAGAAACATATATTAGGATTCTCAGCTTAGTACAGGGTATAGAACTAGAATAACATACCCCTGCTTTAGGCTTTTGAAGAAGGACATCTTCTGGAGAGTAGCCAGCAGTCTCCAAAAAAATAGAGAATGGTTTCTTTGAGAAAAGATAACAAAGGGTCAACAATCTTAAGTAATCATACAACTGAGCAATAATATCAGCACCCTTCAGCTGCAAACAATTATTGCCCGCATATACACTTGCAACTTTTAAGTTGCCCTGAAATATAGACAACTTATTTAGGAGAAGAATATCTATCAAAAGACAGGCACACAAAAATCAAAGAGAAAATTAGGGTGCATAAATATATTCAAGCATCTTTTACATTAAAGCATTTCTAGTAAAAATAATGTTCAATTGTGCACTGCAATGGTTTAGATACATCCCACATGAAGCCAGGTGATGGTCCAGTGCCTAACATCAACACCACACTATAACCACCTTAATCCCAATTCCCAACTAGACAGGATCAGTGGCATTAATTAATTGTACAAAATTAATTAACTCAATAAATTCATGCAGAAAGTATAGTGGCAATGTTTTACTCAATTCTCCTTTGTGTGGCAGCCTTTATATGAATTAAGTAGAGAATGAATACTGGCATAATGTCTCCAAAACTATCATCATCAAAGGTATTTTACATGCATGTAAACAATGATGTGAGTATACCTGGCAAAAAATGACCCGACCTGTTTTTGACCGGAGACCCGACCCGAAAATACTGGGTTTTGAACAAAGGTTTTGCTGACCGAATCCGAAGTTGACCGAACCCGAAATGACCCGCTAAAAATGGGTCAAACCCGACCGAACCTGAACCCGATCTGACCGACCCGCTAATCTAAGATTTTTTCAGAATCAAACATTTTAAAATGAAACATAGTGTTATAAAAATAAGATTATGATTATATTTCTTTGCTTACTACTCATTTTTTGTGTATAGATTTATAACATCATAACAAACTTTAATGATGTCACATACTTATCTTACATTTTTTCAAAATTTCTACATATTTAATTTTTTTATTCGTAATATTGACACTAAGTCATAAAAATTACTTAAAATTTCAAAAAAAATAAATGAAACTCATAACTCGTTGGGTCAACCCGAACCCGATGACACTGGGTCATGAACATGTGGTTATCAACCCGAACCCGAACTTATCCGAACCCGAAGTAACCCGAACCCAAGGTGACCGAACCCGAACCCGACCTGACCGATCGATTTGCCAGGTCTAGATGTGACATTGATGAGTTGGATTTTAGCAGATCCATTAGAAATTTGATAATTTGATATTGTAAAATTAACTTGCAAATCTTGGAACGTGACCATTCCAGCACCTAACAACATTTATGATAATCACTATTGTGGACTGATGGCATGAAAAGTAGCCCGGAATTTAAAATTTAGAATCATGTCTATCACAAATGTGGCCAAAAGGTACAAACTTTAAATTCAGATCTCGAACCTTCTCTAGAACACTTGATTATTTAATTGAAGACTTTTATTTAGGACACAGACACAAGGCTATATGACAAGGAATGCGCCGAAAATAATGCTTTGTGGGGAAAGATCTTTAAACTAAAATACAAAAAAAAAAAAAGAAACAATATGGTGCTGCACATTCAACAATTCATATGTTATTTATGGGCTCTCAAAAGCTAACACACTCCAAAATGTTACATGGCACTATGGCAGTTCTTGAGAAAAAAGGCAGAAGAACTAGAAATATTCTGTCTGACCAAGTAATAGCAGGCAGTAAAGCACTTCCCCGGATAATTATAATCCGGTAATTTGCAAAAAAGAACTCAACTTTGGATGCAGACGAAACATGACAAGGGAAGACAAAGAAGCTAAAACCATTTAAACCCCATCTATAACAGTGGTAAATGACAAGTGAGTAGGAAACAGCCAAATCCAACCACTAATTTTCAGAAAACAGATGAAATGTCATAAAAGCTCATAAGAAGTGTATATAACTTTGTGATAAAACATAAAATCATATCTAAAACCCCTTAGATAAAACAATGCAAAAGAATTTACCTGCTTTCTAATGAGGTAATTAATCCCAAAAGCCAAGTCCGCAATAGGCCATTTTCCCAGTGTTTCTGAATAAGTAAATCTAAGTGTCTCTGCTAAAGTAGAAATTGTCTCTCGCCATGTTGCAGGAGCCTGAGCATGCCTCCTAGACAGTCTCCTTTCAACAGATCGGCAACCAACTGATTTCGAGTACTCTCCACCAGCTTCATCTTCTTCCTTCCCCGACAACCTCCGGCTGAGCACATAGTACATTAGAATCACAGCCCCAGCCGCAGTCGCCATTGTTGTAGCCGCCATCAAATCGCCACTTTCCAGCCACTCATAGCCGTCCGACTTTATTCATACTCAATTCATCCACACATACAAATATGCATATAGCATACGAATTCCGTGCACCAAACAAATTCAAGAAAAAAAACAAAAAATGAGGGGAAAAATAGGGTTTCAAAATCTGAATTAGGAACACAATTGATCTAATTCCCCTGAAACATAAATGTTAACGTTTACAAGCATATATACACACACTTTACAGGTATACAAATCATTACATTCCGTATAATATACAAACATATATATAACTATACTTCTCCATATGAATCGTTATCAGGGATGATGATGATGGTTCGTGCAACGATGCTTGAATGACAAAAAAGGGGCTGCGGAAATTGCAGCCCCTGAGTGGGGTATAAAGCTAATCTGGGGTGAAATTTCGTTGCTGGGTCAATGGGTGGGATAGATTTAACTGGATCTGCAATTCGGGTCTCGCCTTGTCTATGGATCTTGGGAGGGAGGACTGTAGTTCCAATTCCGAACGGACCCGATTTCAAAAAAAAACGACGGGATCGGACGGAGACGACGAGTGGTGGAGATTTGGAAAAGGTTGACGAGGGAATATTGAAACTCCGCCTTACAGAAGCAACTGTGGGGGAGGAGTAGCGAGCGTTGATGGTGGGAAACTGGGAAACAGAGCTCTTTTCCTTTCGTTTGAAGATTGGTCTTCAGATCTTATTGTTTGGTTATTTGGTTAAATTTGATTGATTTTGATTATAGTTGCCTTTTGAAAATACAGTAATTATTATAGAATATTGAAGTCCAGTCCACTGGTCCAGCCAAATTTGGGAATGGGAATGGCCTAAATTTTTAAATGTTATATATATATATATATATATATATATATATATATATATTTTGGTTCTGGTGAGAATGAAATCTTAGAAGAGAAATGAGAATGAATCTGGGCCCTTGGATTAGCATCTTTTGCCAATCCTTGCATTTAAATCTGGATGGACATTTTGGTATTTTTGCTTGGTCAAGACTTTCTCTTACCCATTCGGCTCCATTAGTTGCGTATAATCAGGGCATTAAATTCTCTTCTCCTCAATTCTCAATTCTTCTTTTTTCACTTTCTTTTTTTTTAATTTTCAGCAATAATATTTGGCATAAATCCTTTGATCTAGAGCAGTTGTTGCAATGAGGACAACGAATATATAGCGATAGTTCGGAGAACATCAGCACGAGAAAGATGATGAATAGGGAAGGTTCAGAAAACAACGGGATGTTGGAGGGTGATCTTGATGTCGATTCTAGTAGCAAATTTCAGAGGAAAATTATTTGATGTTTTCTAGATATGCTTTAATCTATCACAATAGATCTACTTTAGAGGAGATTTGTCAATTGGGAATTGAATCCAGTCGCGGCGGTGCAAGGCCACCCAGCGGCAACAATCCTCTGGTGCGGGGGTGCTTAGGCCGCTAAGAGAAGGACTCAAGACTTAGGCTCGAGTAGCAACAACGATGACAGAGGAGTGGTGGCGATCATTCTGTAGTGCATTATGATGAATTTGTGTTGCATTCGTGTACCTTTATGAGTGCATTTTGTGAGAAATTATTGACTTTTAAATATTATTTTGATCATTGTTTGTTTTTTGGAATTTATAAATTGTAAAATGTTTCTAAATGTTGATGCATTAACCAGAATTACGAAATGCATCGTGTCCTTGTGTTTTCATGAGAATATTTTGCATTATGAGCATTCCAATAATGCATTGTCACAAGAAATCAATGCATTCTCATAATCAAGGTAAATGATAATACATTTTCATTTTGTTAATGTGCATTTGCATAACTATAGTTGATGCATTTGATGTTGAAATTCGCCTAACACAAATATGATGCACTTGAATATTCTAGATAGTGAATTTGCACAAACGACTAAGCTTTAGAATATTGAATGATGCAAATTTTAAAGCATTAAAATGTGTATTTAATATTTCCAAGTGCAAGATGAGAGTCTTTTTTAAAATACTAATTATTGTCTATTACCTCAAATGATAGAGAAGTATGTACTACAAATATGGCTACGAATCTTGTATAGGCAAAATATTTTTCAAATCTGTATTACACTTGTTCTAGCATATTTTAATTTCTCTCATTACATCCAAAGTCAATTAAAAGTCATTATTCATTAGTCTGCAACTATAGGTAAATAATGCATGCATAACACTACAAGAATTTGTCTGGTCTGCAACGGAAATCTGCTACGGACNCCGTCAGCCGCCGCCGCCCTCGACCGAGTTCCCTCGCCACCACCTTCCGCCGCCGCCACTCAACCGCCGGTCCTCTTTACCGTGAATTTCAAGATATGGTATTTTTGTTTACTACGAGTATTATATAATTTATTATTATTGTAATTTTTGGTAAAATTGAATTTGTTTGTCTGAAATTGAGTGCATTTTTGGTGAAATTTAGTTGAGATTGTGTGAATATGAGTTGAAATTGACATGAAATTGGGTAAAAGTTGTATTAGTTTTTCGTGAAATTGATAGCATTTAAGTTGTAATTTTAGTTGAAATTGTGTTTGTTAATTTAACATTTAATGAGAATTTAGGTAAAATTTACTTCAATTTTGTGAAATTGAGTGCATTATAGCCTTGTCTTGTCTTCATTTGATGTTTCATTTGAAATGTGAAATTGATAGCATTTAATTTAACATTTAATGTGAAATTTAGGTAAAATTTACTTCAATTTTGTGAAATTGAATGCATTATAACCTTGTCTTGTCTTCATTTGATGTTTCATTTGAGATGTGAAATTGATGTAAAATTTACTTCAATTTTGTGAAATTGATAGCATTTAAGATGTTTCATTTGATGTATTTTAGCCTTGTCTTCTTGTAATGTAACTGCACTATGTTCTAATCAGCATGTAACAACTCTACATGTTTTTTCTAGTTTCCCTATTAGCATTAACCTCTCTGTGCAAGTGTTAGGCCCAGTTGTTGTTGCTGATGGAATGACCATGTATAAGCTGGTTCGTGTCGGGCATGACATCCTCATTGGGGAAATCATTTGATAAGAAGGATATTCAGCTACAATTTAGAGTATGTGATTCATGATCTTGTTCTTTAATAATATAATCCATGCTAATGTTTTATTCTTCCCGCAGAACATGTAACTCTTTTGCGTCCATCTCCCACGGTTCCCCTTCTCTTTGTTGGCTAGTAAATTGTGAAAGTGAATACTATGTATGTCTTTTGGTGTTTGTGTGAGTAGATCATAGTGCAAGTTGCAAGATCCACCAGAAAACCATCATTTTTAATGAAGAGGAAAACCAAGATCAAGCTTTCAAGGGAACTGCCTTCAAGTCCAAAATTTAGGTTTGTTTTAATGCTGATTTTGTGTCCTTTGAAGTGCTTATTTGCTTGAATATGAACTCTAATCTCAATATAAAGCACATGGGCTGATTCTTGAAGCATAACATGAAGTTCATATGTTGATTTTGATGCATTATGTATGTAATTTGCAAAAAAACCTGATCTGATTTGCATTCTTTTTAAAAAATCAGCAACTTTTTTCTTGATTTATAATCTTATTTTTGTATTCCTAGAGTCTCATTAG